TTGTATATATAAAATATACCCCATATTATTAATAATTTTTAATTTTATTTAAAAAATTATAAATACTTTTTAAAATTTCAGACAAATTTGCTTGGAATATGGTTTAAGGGATAATTGTTTTTAATTATATACATTGCTAATAAACTATAATAACTTCACGAGTAGAAGCAAAAGATCTGCCTTGTATATTTATTTCTCTTGCTAAAAAATATCCAGACAACAAATTATTAAAATATGAAAATATTGAAAATCAGAGATGGCAAAATGTATCAGCAAACATGACAACAAAAAAACTTACAATATTGGCTCAGTATTTTCCTAAGTTAAATTTATTACTTAGTTCTTTAAATGATTACTCTTTGTATTATTAAAATTATAACAAACTTGTTGCTAAAAATACATTATTTAATAAATTAAAAGCAGATAATCTAATTTTCTTTGATTCTAAATAGAAGATGATAAGTGCACTTTTTATGATTTTGAAGTTCAAATATCTTTACCTGATCCTGAATATGAGAAGTTTTTAAAAAAGATAAATAAGCTAGAATATATTAATAAACAGTTGTTGTTTGAAAATAAAATATTAAAAAAAAAATTAAAAGAAAAATTTAATAGTTAACAAGATTGTATTAAAGCTATAATTAAAATTGCCAAAAAAGAGCAAAATAATTTGTATGATAATTTGATGAAAGATCATAATCAATTTCATTTAGATAGTCTTCTAAAATATTCTCCTTCCCAATAGCTTAGTAATCAAAACCCAGTTGTTGTAAAATTTATTGAATTGCTTACACAAAATGATCATAAAAATCAACATGAAGATGAAAAATTATTCAAATGTGCTATAGCGATCAAAATGATTTATGAAACATGACATCTAAAATATGTATCAGCTATTAATTTAACTGTATTATCAATTAAATATTCAATAGCAAGAACTAAGTCAATTGTTGATATTGATAACTATTTTATAAATATAGGTAGTTTTACTAAATTCATCAGGTGGCAAGAAGATTTAGCAGGTGAACCTCAACTTTTTCCAAATGGTTTAATCATTATGGTATTTAATAATAAGCAAAAAAGCCAAAAAAATTATTTAGATCATGGCCATAATACTGTTATTTACTATACTGTTACTAGTTTTGTTTTATTTAATTTTGACCCTTTTAACAAAATACAAAATATACAAAATTCTTGACTATACAAGACTCTTAATATAATACATATTAAACAATTATTTGATATCATCTGTGAAATGCAAATATTAATTAATCAACAACTTTATAATTATCTTTCTGTTATCTTAACCAAAGCATGTATAGAAAAAGTGAAAATATTAATGCTATTGATAATTTTGTTGCAAATCAAAGTACAAAAATAGATAAAAAAAAATGGTGCCACGAATATGGTAAAGATAACATCAAAAATTCTAAATGTAAATGCCCTCAATGCAATATGAAACTTCTTACACTTGCTGAAATTCAACAAGAAATTGATCAATCAATATCTAAAAAAAAGGATACAACCAAACCTTTGGTTTTTAAAACCTACAATTCTGAGACCAATGTCTTCAAAAATTCTACTAATTTAATTAATCCACTTAGTATAACCCAAACCTTTGAATCTCAAAAAAATACTAATACACCTGATATTCTTGTTCCAGATCCTTTACCTATAAATCCAAATTCTATTGTTAATATTCAAAAAGTCCTAGATTATATTAAAAAAATCAGCAGAATTAATAAAGGTAAATGGAAATGAATTGCAGTAGTTTGTAATAAAATACTTTATCATTATATACAAAAGTTCAAAAATAACTATCCAGAGATTCTTCTAATACCTGGTCCACATTATGAGAAAATAAACATGTTAAAAGCTTTTGTAGAACTAAATTAGTATATAATTATCAGTTTAGAAGTATAAACACAATGTTATAATTTTATGTAGTTTTGGTAATATTTACAGTAAGTTTTAGTAAATTAGCTTTCATAATGGCATTATATAAAGTTTAATTTATCAAAACTTATAGAAAAATTCCATGTTTAACTTTTGTATCACAACCCTGGCTATAACTTGTAATTATAATGAATTATAGTATTTTTTGCCATAATTTATTCTAATTGACAAGTTTATAGCATTGCATTTATACTTTTATATTAGTTATAATTGTTTAAATTAATAATATTATAAATCTAGAATCATTGATCTGCAATACTTTGCACAATATCAAGAATATAGAACTAAGAATCAATAAGGATATTTTAAAAAATACACAGACTACCACAAGGCATAGGATTCAGTTTGTAATATCTACTGGCATGCGATAGCCATGGAATTAGTTTGGCTTTATATTGTTTCAGATTCTAATCCAACTATTAATGAATATTTTAGCTGGGCTAAAAACCAAAATAATGAATTAATAAATTAAAATATGAACAAGTATAACAATAATTTATAATTTTAAATATTTAAAAAACTTTAATACTTAAGTCTTTTTGTTTTAGATATTTTTGTATTTACAGGCCATAATAAACTTTCATAATGGTGTTAGGTTTAATCAACAATTACTTAAATTGGCAGCTCGAAGAGTCTTTACTCTAGTTTGGTCTGCTAGAAAACATCTCATTTATCAAAAAATCGAAGTAGCTAATGAGAAACAACTACTATGGCTTTATTCTAAAATTAAGAAACAAATTGAATTAAATTCTGTTGTATCATGATTAGGATAGTAAAATCAATATCAAGAATTAGATGCCATACTTAAAGAAGTAAAAAAATGCTCATACCACCTATACTAACTCAAAAATATTGGAATATGGTAGCAAGAAACTGTATAAAATTTTTTATTTTTTTTTTAATGTTTAAGGTAAGACCATGCTCTTATCTTTATTAGTCTTAATAAAAACTTTTTACATTATTAGAAAAGGTTTTATAACTTAAGCCTAGTACTAAGAATAAGAACTCAGACATATTACTAA